AGTCAAATCTGTATATCAAGAACCACGGTCTTGGCCTTTGGGACTAGAGTGCACTGCAGGAACCCCCGAGAGGGCAGCAGTGTGAAACGGTGTAAGACTAGTTTGGTCCAAAGATAGCAGGTCATTACAAGTGAACTAGGAAACATGACCAAGTGCAATGAATCTTTGAGAAGAGCTTGGCAAACTGCTTGTCCTACATGTTTGTCATACATTTATCCGTGATGCTGAGCATGAGAGCAGAAACAACTCTGGACAGTGTCCAGGAAGTTGGATTAACAGGTATTGGCAACAACTTGGATACACTGTTCCGGAAACTTTTGTGTGGCGTGGGAAAGCTAAGCAGAACGCCTACGGATGGATACAGCTGTGGCTGACAGAACCAGGAAGGGTCTTGCCGTGGAGATATGGGCATCTCAAAGACCAAAGTGAGGATACTTTCCAGCAAATGCCTTAGTATAGAGGTCAAAGCCCAGCACTTAAGATCCAGTGAAACGTCCAGGCCTCTAGGGGGGTAGAGAGGAGGGAGGCTGAAGACTAAACCAGACTCACACTTTCAGCCGCAACCCTGTCCCCATCCAGCCATAACATTCCATACACGCCCTCTGGGATGGGGCAGGGCGGGGGGTGGGACAGTCTGCTGTGCTTTAGCGACAACAGCGTTAGCTGCAACGCAGGAAACAAGCAGAGAGACGAGTTCGCTGGGTTTAGCAGAAGGCACTGATGCTCTAGGAAGCACAGTTTCAAAGAAATGGTGGGAGTGAAAGTCAGAAGACATGGGTTGAAGGTCACGTCTGGTCAATGAGGAAGTGACTGCTTTCTCAAAGTAGATGACTGACTATGAGAGAGGGCGGGATAGATTATAAATAGCAAGGCAGTAGGGCAATATTGCATAACTGACCAAATAAGTGAACAAGGGAACAGACCATGCAGAACATCACGATTAAAAACCCACCACTGCAATTACCCTTCAATTTAAAATAAATACATTTTAAAAAATAAATAAAATGGATAACCAACAAGAGGAAAAAAAAAGAAAAACTGAGCACAGATTTCTATTTTTCTGAAACCTAATTCTCCACTACTGGCTGGCTCTGATATACACTTAGTTAACTTCAGATCCCAAACTTTGAGAATATGGGCTTTTTTTCATTATCACTCACATTCTCGAGCTACTGATGTTCTGTTGCAATATTAAGCTGTGATGTTATTAATTTCTACAAATTCCTCATATCTTTAAAAATAATGGGTGAGTAATGCTTTATAAATTCAGCAACATATATATATATTTCAGAAGCATTTTTCCAATAATTCAGTAAATTCCAAATTGCTGAAATCTAGCCATGTCTCATATCATTTACTGAAAATACACTAAATATGACAACTTATCCAAATCATCCTCTAAAACGATAATTATCTTAACTTCCAAAGTGAGTAAATGAATAATTTTACAATTTCATGCTTTAGGCTGAAAAGATTACGCTGTCATGCCTAGGGAATATTTTGTCATTGTTGTTGTTCAGTCACCCAATCATGTCCGACTCTTTTGCAACCCCATGGACTATAGCCTGCCAGCCTTTTCTGTCCATGGGATTTCCCAAGCAAGAACTCTTGGAGCGGGTTGCCATTTCCTTCTCCAGGGGATCTTCCTGACCCGGGGACCGAACCCTCATCACTGCACTGGCAGACAAGTTCTTTGCTGTGGAGCCACCGGGGAAGCCCCTAGGGAATATTTACTGTAGTCAAATCCTAGCACACCAAATGTTACCAAGGTATATGCCACATCACCATAATACTAGTGATTGTTTTTTATCCAAAAAAAAAGCTCACTTCCCTTGAAAACAATCAAGATACAGGATTTAGGTTATACCCATAACCTTAGTGTTGGCCATGTGGCTTTAGCTGAACGACAGCTTTAGACGTTCAACCTATCTTCTTCATACCTGGGTCATAAAACACACGAAGTAACAGCACTGGCTTCCCTTTGTGCCCACTAAAGCAGAAAGTGGTCATGAAATAATTAACTCAATAACTGCTATTAAAATATTATGACAGAGATTTTGATTCCATTCTTCTTGGTTGACAGTGACACACCCCAAAAATAAAGTCCCCAAGGTAACTGCAAGATCTTATCACCTTTTAGAAACTTTTGGCGACATACCAACCGGTTAGAGGTTAGTAATCTAAACACAGGTCATGTGGGTGTTTGTTCTAAAATACTTAGGAATTCAGAGCTTGAATCCTACCTACTAGGATATCCCTGGGAGTGGTGGGAAAGCTCCACAACATAAGAGGGAATCAGCTTCAAGTACTGCTGCAAGAAAATCACCCCAAATGTCTCCAACCAGCCACGAGAGCAGGAGATAACTTGAAAGTCATTGAAAATATTAACTACATAAAATAAAGAAAATTTACTATTAAACAGGTCAATGTCCTTGAACCTTTTTATAGAGATTTTGTCCCTATGGCATGAACCTGGATTTGTGGGGAATATTCCTATGGCACATATTACCTATGGGAAGACAGCATGTTCCCAGAGCTATAATCCGTTGAGCACAGCTTTGAACTATGCAGTCCATTGTAGAAACTCAATACTTACTCAATAAAATAGTAAGCAATTTCATTGTTGTTTAGTTGTTCAGTCATGTCCAACTCTTTTGCAACCCCATGGACTATAGCCCACTGGGTTCCTCTGTCCAAGGGATTTTCCGGGCAAGACTACCAGAGTATGTTGACATTTTCTCCTCCAGGGGATCCTCTGAACCAGGGATCAAATCTGCATATCTGTGTCTCCTATTCTGCAGGCAAATTCTTTACCATTGAATCACCAGGGAAGCCAAATAATTTCATTACTAATACTAATCTCAGTAGATTCTAAGCCAGATTAGACATAATCTATTCTGAATTAAGCAGATTCTGAAACTGTTGCAAGATACTCTGTTATAGAGCCACATCATCTTCTATACTACCAAGTTCACTTTGTAGAACGTAAAGGATGTAAACTATGAATAGAAAAATTCAGGTCCCATCCCAGATCGCTGCTCAACCTGCTTTAACGCAAGTGACTTGCTCACATCTTCTAAGGTGGTTTTTCCTTGAAACTGGGATGGTAACTGCCATTTCCAGATATGACTATGTGTCAGACAGGACTGAATCACCATCAGCTGAGATCAGTATGTCACTAGAAACCACAGTCAAAATGAAAAAAAAACAGAAAACAAGGAAGTTAAGGCTCAAAGAGGTTAATGACTTGCTCAACATCAAACAGTAGAGAGTTGGAAAGTTCAGTTGAACACTATTCATGACAAAGATTACTGCACTTGTAAAGCAAATACATTATATATAAAAATTTTTTAGGAAAGAAACATTTTCAAATAATGGCAATGATGAATTATATTATCAACAGAAAGTGTTTATGGACTGCAGAGAACATCTAATAAAATACCCAAATTTATAGATGAGAACTTGAGATTATATTCAACTTGATGAAAACTGAGGTCCACTTTTTCCATGAACCATATCACCTTATATTTAAAAATACTTCATAAATTATAAAGGGATAAAGGGCTATAAAATATAAGTAGTTAAGAGAGAAAATTAATTATTATACATTAGCTGTGAGAGATTCCGAGTGCTATGACTGTCTTTGGAACTGCACAGCTTAATACACCTGATCATCTATTTATATGTCAAGGTTTTGCTTGCTGGTGAGTGGAGAGAGAGAATAGTATCTGTTTTCTGCCTAGATATGAAGGTTAGGACTTAAGTCTGGTTAGGGCAACAGGATAACATCTAAAGTTGAAAAGGACATTTCCATGAAATTCACTGTGAAATACAGGGCAAGAATACTGCCATTTTGCATGTAGATGTCTAAGTGTGACACTGGGAATTGTACTTTGGGCATAAGTAGCATAATCTCAACTGTGCACACAGCTAGTATGATCTCAGACAGTCGGATTATACACTAGTAGTAATAAAAGTAGAGGTGACCCTAACTTAGAGAACCAATGAAGTTTACAATTTGAGTCATTTTCCAAACCATTTATAACCTTAGCATATTTAATTTCTGTGCTCCTGCCAGCTTAATACTGCTCAGACTGAGCTTTGGGTAGTTCCATTTTTAAATTCCTTAGAGTCACTTCTCTCTACATACATGAAATAAACTCTTTGACCTCTGACTGATGCTCTTCCCCAACATACTGCCTAAGGAGAGGCAGTGAAACAAAATACTTAGGTAGGAATCACTGTTCCCTGGTGGCTCAGTGGTAGAGAATCCACCTGCAATGCAGGAGACACAGGTTTGATCCCTGGTTTGGGAAGATCCCCTGGAGAAGAAAATGGCAACCCTGCCTCTGCACGTGGTTTCCAGTAGCAGGAAATACCCGTTATTTCTACCTTTTTTCCTTCTACTTTTGAAACGTTACAAAGTTTTAAAGACTTAAGTCAGATATTGCCCATCCCACTAAGATAATTCTTGACATTTGTACTTGTGCCTCTTCTTCTAACAATTCTGAGAGAATTAATAAGTATGAAATAGCATTATGTGTGTGGATATAGGGGATATATTAATATTTGTTGAAATACTTTCCCTACACTCTTCAGGCAGGCTATTTACACTCATCCTACGTCCATGTTAAATTCTAGAATCTTGGCTTCCTGGGGGAATCAATTTCCCCCTCAAGCAATGCTTTCCCACACACATTTCAGGATGAGAATAATTAGAGGAAGCTCTGTTCAAGAAGAAGGGGAAATATATTAAGAATTATTCAATTTCTGTTCTATGGTAGGAAGAACTAAATCATTACTCCATTCTAATTAAGTTTATCAAAAGAAATAAAAACTTCTGAAGTTTTATGTGTCATTTAAATACTTGCCAATTAGTCATATGATGTGACTGCATCTCACATAGCCATGACCACTTTCTAGTGTGTAGACATACATCTGATTTGATCTGAAGCCAATTTACCTTCCTCTAGACACCTCCAGGTAAGCATAAAACTTACAGTGCCAAGGTCAATGATGAAGCAGTCACCCTTGTTGAAACTGTCCCAGCTTAGGGGAACCTCCGTGGCCCTGACGACTCTCCGACCTTTCACATGCAGGAGCCTCTGAGCGGTCAAGTCATTTGTAAGCACATGATGGAGTCCAGATGCCACACCTCCAGCCTGATCAGTGAGAGAAAGAAAAGAAAACAAAACAAAACAGATGAGGCTTTGACACGGCAGCTTAGAAAACCACGTTGTTGGTGCCAAACTGCTTGCTAGACCAAGAGAAAACAGCTAAGTGCGTGTGAAAAATTAAATATGCAGAAGAGAATTTCCAACAGGCAAATCAATAGGTAATTGTTTTGTTTTAGGCTCTTTGTCCTTCCTATTTTAACCATTCCAGTTAATACTGCAAATATTTACTGAAAACCCTCAGTATATAAAACCTGCTACATAAACAGAAAAGAGCTGTTATTCCTTTCCTTTGGGAACTAACGATTCTCAAAGCAGTGAATGCGAAGGCAGATAAGGATTTCAGAGGAAAAGGTGATAGGAGGTTAGAGGGTCAGAGGTCACAAGCACACAGGAAGAGGCCCAGGAACCAGGCAGCGTGAAATCCCCACGGTCACAGCCTCAAGACAGAGGAGGGACCTGAGTGCTTGCCAGGTATGGGCTGCTTCTAATCTTAGTCCTTGATTTTACATTAAATAATCACCTGTCTTATTTATCTATTTATTTAGATAAAAAGGGTTTACAAAACATGCCAAGCCTAAGTATTTACAGTCTAAATTGGTTGCATACCCCCACCAAAACAAAAAGAAAATTCAAAGTCCAACCACAGTGAACTAAGAAATGGGGACAAAAAAGATGAACTAAGTCAAGCACATCTTCTTGCATCATTTGAAATTAGCTTTCAGATTTTTTAAGCTTTTCATTATTTTCCTGAATTAGTAAAATGTTAGGGACAATAATATTTATTTACTTCCATAATTAACTATGAGGTAATGTGCAAAATAAAGGTATAGTGGAAATAAATCTGTTATTTATTGATCAAAATCCTCCCATGATAATATGGAAAGAAAATTAGCAGTAGAAATCTATATGGGACTTCCCCGGAAGCCAGTGGTTAAGACTCTGCCTTCCAATGCAGGGGTGCGAGTTTGATCCCAGGTTGGAGAACTAAGATCCCACATCCTTGGGGCCAAACAACCAAAAATATAAAACAGAAACAATATTGTAACAAATTCAATAAAGCCATTAAAAATAAATGTTCCACATCAAAAGAAAATCTTTAAAAAATGAAGTCTATTAAATAATCCAAATTTCAAGTTTATTACATCAATATATACAATAAATCCAAAGAAAGAGGTCAAGCTTCATATATAATTAATAGCACATTCTTTAAATTTCCAAATGACTTTTAGACTTCTCTGCTTTTCCAAAAGGCCCTCATGAATATAAAGGTTTTATTAATATGGGCTTAAATGTTGACTTCAGGAAAACTATCACCACAAGCTTTTACAAATGCATAATAATCTCCCAGTTCATAATTTTAAAAGGATTGCCTTATTTCTTGACAGCACAAAGTATTATATAGTAAAGTTTTTCATCTACATATTACTATGCTTGGCCATTTTAATTTTTCAAAATAAGAACTATACTGTGATCTGATAACAAAAAATAGTGTAAGAACACTGTGTTCTGAAAAAAAGTTATAAAATATAGAGTTGACTTAGGCTGAAAATAAATGTACAATATTAGGATAATTTCATATGGTGAACTATCAGAGTGATCTATATAGTCTGTGAACATTTAATAGTATTTTTAAAATTAATTTTGACTCTAATAATTGATGCCAAAAATGAACAAAAAACTTAAGTTTTATATATATCCATATAAGAAGGTAAGTAATTCTTCTGTGAACACTGCTTGAATGAACCCTAGAAACTCCCAGTCTCTTTCTACCTACTTTACAGAATGAAAGCGAGGCGGATGATCTGCTAAACCAAGGGAACCATAAGTACAGTTTTACTGGCTGACAGATGTCTAATTGTTGCTGCTTATAATCACAGTTGGGGCTGGGTCTTGTTCAAGCTGGAAAAGGGACTTAGCCAGAGATATAATAGAAGGAAGCAGTAGTAAGTAATTAATGCTCTATAACTCCTCCCCAACTCCCTATAAAACCTCACAGAGAAAAAAACCACAAGTCGATTAAATGACATAGGACAGGGGAAGATGGTCTCAACGTTTCCTAGCTACATCTTTACACTGCATATGGCAACTAAATGTGACCACTGCTGACTTGGTAACAGTAGACTTTGCCAAGTTTTACTCATTTCAAATAGACACAATATCCTTTTCAAAGAGTATTCCTAAATAAAACATTTATCCAGACGTTTGAACCATTTACTTATATTGAAAGCATCATAACACCATGGTTACTAGCTTAGGCACTGGAGTCGGTCACCCAGTTCAGTCATATAGCACCTATGAGACCTTCACAAATTCGCTCTCTAAGCTTCCATTTACTTATCTCAATAGGATGATAATGATAGGAACTGTACTACAGGGCTGTTTTTTTCAATTAAATGAGATGACACATGTGAAGTGCTTTGTACATCCCTAAAAGCATGAAATTAAGTATAACATAATAATCTTTGCTGTTCTGGGTGGTAAAATGATCTCTGTTTCCGCATCTCCTATCAAGTCTAGCTACAACTACACATGTTACCATCTGGTTAATGTCACTAATGATAGGATAGTAAACTGATTTTTTTGCTGATAAATTTGACCTCCATCTGCAAATATCCTCTTTTAAAAAATGCTGATTGGTGGTGGTTTTAATGTTGACAACTAGAAGACAATTATTCAATAAATATAAAATTACTTTTATCATGTCCACTTTTAAATATATTTTCAGAAGTTTGATTTCAGAAGACCCACTAATACCAGAAGAATTAATAATAGCATGAGTCTCAAATGATTGCATATGCACTATAACATACACATTTTTATCATTTAATCTAATCTTATGACACCTACACAAGAAAGCTGTTGTTACCCTGTTGCACATTTGAGGAAACTGAGCACTGAAAACCTGTTTCCCTGAGGCAAACAAGCTACATGTGACAGACATGGGTTCATATCCAGGATGATGGTGCAAGCATTTGGTAATACAAGCCCCAGCTTACTCTAAATCTTGAATTCACTGATATACAGGATATTTCAGGATGATTTGACATAAAAGTAACTCATATGAATTAAATAAAAGGCAATAGTTTCATATTTAATAGTCTCTAGACTAGAGAGAAGTCGGAGAAGGCAATGGCACCCCACTCCAGTACTCTCGCCTGGAAAATCCCGTGGACGGAGGAGCCTGGTGGGCTGCAGTCCGTGGGGTCACTAAGAGTCAGACACGACTGAGCGACTTCACTTTCACTTTTCACTTTCATGCATTGGAGAAGGAAATGGCAACCCACTCCAGCGTTCCTGCCTGGAGAATCCCAGGGACGGAGGAACCTGGTGGGAGGCCGTCTATGGGGTCGCACAGAGTCGGACACAACTGAAGTGACTTAGCAGCAGCAGTAGCAGCAGACTAGAGTCAGAATTCTAGTTTAGTAGTTTACTTCTGAGGTTTTAGGTCTCCACAGGGCTAATATACTGGAAGGGTAGGGTGGTAGGGTCTCACAGAATACCTGCTGAAGCATGTTTGATTTTTAAAAAGATTGTTTCTGGGGTGTATGTAGGGAAGGTATTCCTCACACTTTAACTGAACATTCTCAGGGGCATGGGGAATAATGAAGGACAGACAATCTGCAAAGGTCACCGAGAAAATTCCAGAAAAAGCTATCCTCTACTGAAAGTTGCCTTAAAGGTATAGAGATACCACACATATGTTCAATTCAGTGGTTTCATTTGTAACATTTCTAACATCAAACTAAGCTATTTGGGAAATGTATGTATAGTTCTATGTATTAACTGAAGCTATAATTGTTATAAATACTGGATTCATATGTTCCAGAACAACTGAAATTCCTGAGTCGTGGGTTATTTGTGGCAAATTCAGCAATTCTTTAGAATAGCAAAAGATAAACACTATTGATGCCCATGTTGCCTATATATACTTAACTTCATTAAAAATTAACCTGCCAAATGAGATTAAGTCAGAATATGTCACACATTATACCATATATTCCACAAACATTTATCCAGCTACCTATTATGTGTCTAGAGAGTTCTGGGGATATATCAGTGAACAAAATGGATTAAACTGAAAACAAAATACCCTGCCCTCTTGCTGAATTACTTCACTGTGTATAAGTAGCATTGACATATACTACCATGTGGAAAACAGTCAGCCAGTGGGAAGCTGCCATATGGACACAGGGAGCTCAATCCGTGCTCTGTGATAAGCTAGAGGGGTGGGATGAGGTGGCGGGGGCGTGGAGGGGAGGGTCAAGAGAGAGCCCGTGTGGATACTCACGGCTGATCCACATTGTTGTATGGCAGAGGCCAACACAATATTGTAAAGCAATTATCCTCCAGTTAAAAAAAAAAAACACCTGCCCTCAATGAACACTTATTCTATCAAGACATGAGGTGTGGATGGACAGGAAGAGAAAGGGGGTCATAAAACAATTCGAGGGAGCTGCTTACCTTGTATTTCAGACCTCCTCTAAAGTAGCCAACAAAATCCGTAGACTCATAGCCTTGCAGTTCTCTGTTCTGCACAGGTTTGCCACCCAAATAGTCATCCATCTGAACAGTAAAGATGGCAGCCGCTGTGCTTTCATCCTGAGTACACTCCTTCCCTGAAAGAGCAAATGACAGTATCTCATTTGTCACCTGAGACACAGGATTAAGGCAGAATGTCTGACAAGGAAAAACTCAGAAATTGTCTTTGAAATATATACCAGTACCATAAATTTATGTATGAATTGTTCATCTTCAACAGAACAATCTTTCAGCAGAAATGATGCAATATAAAATACTATTTTGCTAATAACTAAAAGAATTGCTCTGTACCTGCTTTCCAGTTCTTTTTTTTAAAAAAACTTTAAAAGAATCACCACTGTCCAAATATGTTCAGGATGATATAACAATATATTCCAGTAGGATTCAGATTCATTTGGTATAGTCAATAAGATCAGGCTATCAAAACATTTTTCAATTGTCTTAGCCTTTCTCAGCATTAATCTCCAGGTTTCCAACATGTCAATATATTAATATTTGTAAGGAATACAAACATCACAGGCCAGAACTAAACAACACTTTGAGGATGGGAAAATTAATGTAACTTGACCTTATCCCTATTTTTTTAAGTATAAAGGGTTTTTTAAAATAAGTATGTGTAACACAGGCATAATTAAGTCATTAAGTTTTTTTTGTTTTTGTTTTTGTTTATTTATTTATTTATTTATTTTTATTAGTTGGAGGCTAATTACTTCACAATATTGTAGTGGTTTTTGTCATACATTGACGTGAATCAGCCATGGAGTTACATGTATTCCCCATCCCGGTCCCCCCTCCCACCTCCCTCTCCACCCGATCCCTCTGGGTCTTCCCAGTGCACCAGGCCTGAGCACTTGTCTCATGCATCCAACCTGGACTGGTGATCTGTTTCACCCTAGATAATATACATGTTTCGATGCTGTTCTCTTGAAACATCCCACCCTCGCCTTCTCCCACACAGTCCAAAAGTCTGTTCTATACATCTGTGTCTCTTTTTCTGTTTTGCATATAGGGTTATCGTTACCATCTTTCTAAATTCCATATATATAAGTCAGTAAGTTTTTAAGGAATTTCACATGTTCTGATTCTTTCCACTGCCAAGCACCTTAGTTCCTCCAAAGTCATAATCTTCAAGATAAAATAGCCCTTTCAAAAAGCTCAACCCACAGCTCTCAGTCAGTCCATAATTCTTTTAGTTGGGCTTCTCTGACTCCAATGGAATATGGTCACACTTCAAAATTCTCCACATGTAATCTTTGGAGTCCAGTTTTCTCAAGCAATTTACTTTAGTACCATGTTTAAGATCAAGGGATGGATCTGTCTGGTTCTGAATTTGGCAACTTTAAAAATGAGGCTTCCCTGGTGGCTCAGTGGTAAAGAATCCATCTGCCAATGCAGGAGATGTGGATTCAATCCCTAGATCAGGAAGATCCTCTGGAGAAGGAAATGGCAACCCACTCCAGTATTCTTGCCTGGGAAATCCCATGGACAGAGGGGCCTAATGGGCTAGAGTCCATGGGGTCACAAAAGAGTCAAATACAACTCAGCAACTGAACAACAACAAAAATGTATTAAGTTCAAATCAGATTCACTCCTCCTAAGCAATAAAATCCTAGAACAGTACAGACTGTTGGGATATGCCAATACTTTTTCTTTTAAGTCCAGACGCCGAGTTCTCAAGATAAACATAAAGATCGCTTCTAGGACTAGAGCTGATAATTTCCCTCATATCTTAAGCTTTCCCCTATGTTTGAGTCCCAGTGTCCCCACTTCATTATCTTACTGGCATCAGATAATATTCTCTGAAGGAAAAGGGAGAATAAAAGAACCTGCATGCTCACATCTTTAGAATGTTAACATATGCAGTATTATCCTGGGAATTTAACATACAACACACACTTAATTTTCATAATTCTAATACAGATCTGATCCAGGCAACCTCACTGAGGTCAAAACACCAATTCTTAAGACCCAGTGTCCTCAATGTACACAAAGATCAGAACCAGGACAGTCCTGAGAGGACCTCAAAATTTATAAGACATTTTAAAACTTTTACTATTCCTCACCTGTGTGAAAACCGTTAATGATTCTAGAAATAATAGCAGCTAATATACATTTATAGAACCCTTGCTATGGGCCAGACACTGTGCTAGTGTTTTACATTAATGATCTGCTTTAACCTTCAAATGACCCAACATAGCTGAAATCATTTTCTACCATGTTACATCAGAGGACACGGAGGCTCAGAGAGAAAAAGTAACTTCCTTGAGGTCATAAAGTTGACCTTTGGCAGACACAACACAGGTTTCTAAGACAGGTTTCTGTGACTGTGAGTCACAGATCTTAGAAACTACGATACTAGTTGGCAATTTTTATACTCAGACTCTCACTAGCAGTAAAATTTTGAGGTGACTGGGGAATGTAATTTTCCTCCCTGGATAACTGACACATAAATGTTTAGAAGCTGTAACAATACTAGAGTTCACCTGCTACAACCGCAACTAGGAGTATTCACTAAAGTTGAGGAAAGGAAGTCAATCAGGTATATTAAAGAAAGAACTGGATTTATTTATAACTCCTCTCTTACTCTCAAAGAGGACTGGTGAACTATCTTCTCAGGGGAAAAAAATCAGTCGCTAGATATCAATTTTATGAACTCGCTGTGGTCAAAGGAAATTACTTAACACACATAAAAATCACATGCAGTTTTGCAGTCTGAAAGGGCTCAAGTGTCATCTTCTGTCCACTTCCCCAACCACAAAATAGATTACCAATGAAGGCAAAGATGTAGATTCTACACAGAGGCTTTAGGAGGGAAACTTAAATCAACCTTAATATGAAAGGTGTTGAGGATGACGCATCTGATATACATAGTTTTACTTGAGAACAGGTTGAAACCTGAATTTCTTGAGGTAGATACAAATGGATAGGTATGTGATTAATGAATGAACTGGAAGTAAGTTAATTAAATTATCCTATAATTTGTTGATGCTATGTACTGGGCTTCCCTGGTGGCTCAGATGATAAAGCATCTGCCTGCAGTGTGGGAGACCCAGGTTCAATCCCTGGGTTGGGAAGATCCCCTGGAGAAGGAAATGGCAACCCACTCCAGTACTCTTGCCTGGACTGAAGAGCCTGATAGGCTACATAGTCCATGGGGTCGCAAAGAGTCAGACACAACTGAGCAACTTCACTTTCACTATGTACTGTGCTAGGCCAAGGAATGTCAGTATGAGTAAATCAGAGTCTTTTTAAAAAGGCTGAACGATTTTAATGAAGCCAATACTAGCCTTTGAATATAAAAACTAGTATCAAATTCAGTTATAGCATGAGGAAATTCTCGTTAAGTGTTCAAAAACTCATGAGTGTTCTGAATGAGTTCTTATGACTTCATTTATTTTTCCTGTGCTGATTTTCCCAGTGCCATTCATGTTATGTTGTTTTATGTTATTTACATTATATTGTGTTATATTTTATTTGTAAATATGCTATAAGTTTGTTTAGTCTCCAAGTCGTGTATGACTCTTTTGTAACACCCATGGACCGTAGCCAGCCAAACTCCTCTGTCCATGGGATTTTCCAGGCAAGACTGGAGTGGGTTGCCAATTCCTCCTCCAGGGGATCTTCCCGACCCAGGGATCTAATCTGGGTCTCCTGTACTGCAGGCAGATTCTTTACCACTGAGCACCCTGGGAAGCCATATGCTGTAAACTTCCTGAAATTGTTTTGAGGATGTGATGATTTTATATATAAAACATAATAAAAAGAGAGGTTTAATGACTAGCTTAGTGGAATATCCATTCATGATAAAAGCTCTCGGCAAGTCTGGAATACAGAGGAAAATTCTCAACTTAATAAACAGCATCTTCAAAAAACATTAAGCTAACATAATTTTTAATGATCAAGGACTGAATCCTTTCTCCCAAAGATGGGGAACAAGGCAAGTACTCTTACTGAATATAACACAGGAAGTTCTAACTATTGCAGAAAGGTAGGAAAAAGAAATTAAAAAATATACAGATTGTAAAGGAATAAAACAATGTGTCTATTTAGAAATGACAGGATGATCTGCATAGAAAATCCTAAGAAAAAAACAAACCCTTAAGAATAAATGCATTCAGCAAGATAGCATGATAAATATTAATCAATGACAAAAAGCAGTCTCATTTTTATATAGAAATAATGAACGTGCAGAAATTGAAATTGAAAGCACAATGCCATTTTCAGTCACTTCAAAGAAACTGAAATACTCAAGAATATGTTTAACAAAACAAGTCATGATCTACATGCTAACAATTACAAAATGATGATAAAAATCCAAGACCATAGTAAAGACAGTGTTTGTGAAGTGTAAGTCTTGTAATATAATAAATATGTCAATTTTCCCCAAATTAATCTATAGACTTAATGTTATTCCTGTCAAAATCATTTCAAGGTTTATTACAGATTACATGAGTTTGTTATAAAATTAATGTGAAAAGGCTCAGTCCCTAGAATAGCTAAAACAATCCTGACAAAGAAAAATAAGGTAAGAAAACTAACTCTATCTGATATTAAGTTTTCTTACACAGGCACAATAACTAATTAAGATAGTATGGTACTGGTTGAAGAATAGACAGATGGATCAATAGACCACGTTTCTTCCAATGGAACATTTTGTAAAACGTTAGTATGTATAGTTTAGTATACTAAATTAGTAAACTATACGTATACTAATTCAGTATGCTGCTGCTGCTGCATAAGTCGCTTCAGTCGTGTCTGACTCTGTGCGGCCCCATAGACGGCAGCCCACCAGGCTTCCCCGTCCCTGGGATTCTCCATGCAAGAACACTGGAGTGGATTGCCATTTCCTTCTGCAATGCGTGAAAGCGAAGTCACTGAGTCGTGTCCGACTCTTACTGACCCCATGGACTGCAGCCTACCAGGCTCCTCCATCTATGGGATTTTCCAGGCAAGAGTACTGGAGTGGGGTGCCATTGCCTTCTCCACTAATTCAGTATACATATATTAAAGTATAAGTATATAAGGACAGGACTGCCATAACCAGCATATTGACACTGATACAATCCACTTACACTTCTCGTATTTCCCCAATCTTACTTGTAGTCATCTGCATTTGTACATTAGTTACATATAATTTTATCACATGTGTAAATTTACATACCCACCATCATAGTCAAGACACTGTATAGTTCCATCACCAAAAAATCCCTTATGGTGCCTTTTTAAAACTCCACCCACCTCCCACCTGAATCACTCCTTCCCCACCTCATCCTTAACCTCTGGTAACAATGAATCTAGATTTTAAAAATGTTATATGAGTAGAATCATATAGCATGGGACCTTCTGGCATTGTTTTTCTTCTTCCCATTAGGCATAATTCCCTAAGGGATTCATCTGACTTGTGTTTGTCCGGAGTTTCGGGCTCTCATACAGAGTGATGTCAGAAAGAGAAAAACAAATATCATATATTAGCACATATATGTGGGAGCTAGAAAAATGGTATAGATGATCTTATTTGCAAAACAGAAATAGAGACAGAGCCATAGAGAACAAATGTATGGACACCAAGTGGGGACGGAGAGTGGGATGAACTGGGAATTGGGATTGACATGTATACACTACTGACACTATGAATATAATAGATTACTAATGAGAACGCACTAGATAGCTCAGGGAACTCTATTCAGAGCTGGGTGGTGACTTAAACGGAAAGGAAATCCAAAAAAAAGAGCATGTGTATATATACGCATGTATAGTTGATCCACTTTGCTGTACAGTAGAAACGAACATAACATTGTAAAGCAACTATACTCCAATAAAAATTCATTTAAAAATAAGTTTGTTCCTTTTTGTTGTTGAGCAGTAGTCCTTGGTATAGACGTGCCATTTGTTTAATCAGTAACCTGTCAAAAGTTAGGTGGGCTGACTGAAATTTTTGTCCATTCAAATAAAGCTGCTATGACATTAATGCACTGGTTTTTGCATGAATATGAAATTTCTCTGGATTAAATGCCCATGAATGCAACTACTGGATCACATGGTAGTTGCATGTTCAGTTTTATAAGAAACTGCCAAAGTCTTTTCCATAATGGTTGTACATTTTATATTTCACCCCCACCACAATCAACGTATAAAACTCCAGTTTCTCAGCATCCTCCCCAGCCTGGGTATAAGTTCTTTGTATTGTATGTTGTATACTGTTGCCCAGTTTTTTGGATTCACAGTGCCTTGAAATAGAACCCAGCATAGATAAGTTGGTAGATGCATTCAAATTGCTAGGTACAAAACTGAAATTTTTTTTCAGGAAGAACCAATGCAACAACTTCTAAATTACATGCAACAAACGCTTACTTTGTAAAGGAAATAAAACAAAAATAATCAAATAAAAAGATCTGAGATATGCAATGGTATTATGGAGAGACACTGAGGGAGAGGCCAGGGAAGATAACTTATCTTCTGTTCTCCTGTTTTGGGTCCCACTTCTTCCTGTTTCCCTTTTCCTCCTCTCAGCTGACCTGTTTCTTCATTTCTAGGCTATGCCTCTTCTCATTCCAGGCTGATTTTAACTCTATTCTCCTTCATCTTCCTTTCAACTGACTTCCTTTAGTCAGACTTTCTCTTCCCCTGAACTTTCAGCTCCCCTCTTGGAACTTTCCCTCAATCTGTTTTTCTGAATAAACCTCATGAATTCACCCAAATTGAGGTCTAGTACTGTGCTTGTGCTCAGGTGTATCTGACTCTTTGCTACTCCATGGACAGAAGCCTGTCAGGCTCCTCTGTCCAGGGGATCTCCCAGGCAAGAATACTGGAGTGGGTTCTCCTCCGGGGGATCTTCCCAACCCAGAGATCGAACCCCCATCTCCTGTGTCTACTGCATTAACAAGGGTTCTTTAACCACTGTGCCACTTGGGAAGCCCAAATTTAGGTCTAATTATATCTACAGGTCCTGCTGGCTACTCTGCTCTAAACTTGTTACATTTCCCATGAGTTTCTATCACACAACCCCTCCCAGTTCCCGTCATCTGCCTTTTTTTCCATCAAGGCTTTTCTGCTTTCCAGTGACCACAGGCACTTTATGTCTCTTTCCTGGTGCTCATCACATTTTACCTGTGTTCTATCACTTCTGTTTTATTGCATCATTGAGATTGTAAACTTTCAGGGAAGTTTCCTAAGGTATTCATATGCAAAAATGCCTTACACAGTGCTGGACACATTGAAAGTTACTGAATTAACCTATTAGTTAACGCACTATTAAGTTCAGTTTTTATAGATCTTTAAGATCATAAAATGTTTCTGCCCAAAGCATTTCTATTACATTTTTTGAAACTGATGAACTAAATCAGTTTAGTTTCTCTTCCCTTTCTGAAGTCTGATTCATTCATTCATTCAGCGTAAGAGTTACCTTGAATCTGTTATCCCTATGAAATACGGTGCCTAAAGAACTTATCTAGATAAGAAAGAAGCTACAGAATTAAAACAATTGTATAGGTTCTTTCTTACCCAGATAAGCTCTCTAAGCATTGTGTTTTGTAGGGTTTACCTATGGAATTAAAACAATTGTGGGGCTTCCCTGACAGTCCAGTGGTTAGGGCTTGGTGTTTTCACTGCCATGGCCCCAGGTTAAATCCCTGGCTGGGGAACTAAGGCCCCACAAGCTAAACTGGGTGGCCAAAAACCAAAACAAAACAATAGTGTTTAAAGCTCACTTGGATTTCTCTGACAAAATCAAATTTAATTATTGTCTTCAGCAAAATATGACTTTCTCATTTTAGTTCACCAAAATGACAAATGTGGCATTTCAGACACTTTTACTCATTACAGAACTAAGTACTGAACAGAAAGACCAAGGTGAAGGCATTACTATTCTATGTGGCATCATTCATTCATGAACATAAGTTAAACATTAAGATTTCAATGGGGTGATTCTTCGTATAAAACATAAACATATCACTGTCTGTTATAAAAGGAATAGTGACATTACACTGGAAAACCACAATGAGTTTGGATCTCAGCCTCCTCAAGCAGGCACAAAATTTTAGTATCAAATAAATGTTATAATGAGATAGTTCTGTCTCCCTGTATGGATTTCTCATTTGGAGTGTTTGCTCCAGGTGGTAGCTAATATTGAGAACATCAATTCTCAATGTTCTCTACCATCTTGCTTCTCAAAATCTTCAAATGTTAGGAAGGAAAAATGACTTTCAGGGACTTCAAAATGTGTATGTGTGTGGTTTTGTGTGTTTTCCCCATAATGAATAAAACTAAAAATAAACACAGTCTAGGGGAGGCAAGCTGATTCTCAACGGAGGCAATAAGGCTCAGATAATCGGTGTGTTGTTAGACGGGGTGTGCCCACTGGCACAGGATCTCAGAGGGAGAAGTTAGACATTCAGGATGTTTACGAGTAAAAGTAGAAGGTGGAAAAAGTAGAACACACAAGGCCCAGTGTCCTCAGAGCCCGGCGCGGGTGAAGCCCAAAATAATTACTACCGATGAAGGAGCTGTTTTGTTCCAACCTGTGTTCTTGTTCAAACACATAAGTGATAAATATAAATATAATCATTATAAAGCGACTCATCTAAATACAAAATCTGCCATAGAAAGTTATTTACTTTGTATTGATAAGGCAGCCAGCATCCTAATCAAGAGGAATTTCTGTTCTCCAAAGCTGCAAGCAGCGCGGTGCAGGCTTGGAATGTGATTTTTAAAGCAGCCAAGAACTTACTTAATCGTTGCAATTACTAGAGAACGCTAAGCTGAGCCCAAGGCTATATATATATATATATACATATATATATATATATGTATATATATATATATAATTTTTTAAAGGACTTCCCGCGGCCGCGGCGAATGCCCACAAACTTGTTTGACTTCATCTCTTCGCTGACGGGGAATCCAGGACTGAACTTGTCGGAAGGTGAGCCTAACTTGGCCAGCCCCAGGGCGCGGCTGGCAGCCGTCCTGGGAGGAAGCGGGAGTTTGGAGACTGGAAGGTGAAAGGGGGAGAAGCTAGAGGAACCAGCTGCAAAACCTGGGAGGTGGACTCGACAAAGGTCAAAGCGATGGAGGTAAGACTGCTCCCCCCCTTCGCCGCGCCCTGCGTTCGCTGCGGCGTTTGCAGGCGCGGACTCTCGCGAGTGGAAGGTGCCCAACCCCAAAGTTGGAGGGGGCGCCCCCCGGGGCGCAACCGGCGCGATGTGTCTCCAGGAGGGTCCAGCTAGCGCTGCCTTCCCCCAGCCCGCCACTCTCAACCCCCCGGCGGCCTCCCCCTCCCCGATCCGGCCCCGTGGCCCCTTACCCAGCCAGAAGTGCAGGCGGTAGGTGAAGCCCCGGCTGGCCTGCGTCGTGTGGAGCACCAGGTAGGCATCCCCGACGTAGAAATCGCCATACGCGCTCTCAGGCACCGGCACCAGCTCCAGCTTCTCAATTCTCCAGACCTGCAGCCCCGCCCGCTTGCCCGCGCGGGCGAACTCCTCGTGGTACAGCCCCTGGGCCATGACTCGGGCACGCGATGTTCCGGGGAGTGGACGTGGGATCTCGCTGACCTGGGAGTCGGACTGGAAGGACCCAGGTCGCAGCGGTTTTATAGGGTTTGCTCTGCAGGACGGGAGGGGGGGCGGGGCGGGGATGATCGGGGGCGGGGCCCCCAAACGGGAGGGGCCAAGTGTCCAGGCAGGCGTTACTAGCCAGGAGGCAATCCCTACTCATCCGAAGCGCAGCATCCTGTACCAACCTCCTGCGCCCTCTCCTGCAGCCCGAAGGGAATCAGAATCTCAGAAATCGTAGAGATCCTGAGGGAACTTACTGAAACTCCAGGAAATACGTCCTCCCAGGAAGGACATTTTCCCTGGCAACAGATGGAGGAGATCAACAATTAAAACTGTTTAGTGCATCGTTAAAGGAAAAAAAAAAAAAAAGGCAGTTCTGGTAACGATTTATCATCAACTCCTTCATTTTATCTGCCAGTCCCTCCATCCCCGCTGGCCACAGTTTCTGTCTTGGTCTTCCCAATTTGAAACTGCCATGAGAAACAGCTTGTCAGTTTTCTTGGAAAGAATGAAAACCTGGAAGGATAGCGGTCTTAACCGGGGGACAGACCTCTATAAGTCTTCAGGGGTTCAGGGAGCTGTGATTAACCTCTTTGCCACCTGCTTCCTTTACCAAGTAAAGTTTTGGGAAAAAAAAAAAGCAGCAATCCTCTTGGGGTGTTCTCAAGCTGGGCTGTTTGTGACTGTGTATTATATACTTAGCTTACCGTGTGAGTTACCTCTTAGAAATGCTTCAGGGTGCTGATCTTATTGTCTTCCCTACAGAGTTTGCTTTTGTAGCATGGGCAAAACACTGTAAAATATAGATGGAAGTTTACTCCTTATTTTGCATTAATTTAACTGAAGCTGATGTGGCAAGTGATTTTATTGTTATTGAGAAAGCAAATTGCTCAGGATGCAGAGGAAGAAAGCTAGTTTTTATGCATGTACATTTTCTGTCACTGTTTTCCAAATTACAGGCTTCTCTGGAGGTCACTAATTACATACAATTTGATTTTTCCTTAATTAATGTTTTGAAATAGGTATTACATGACCATGGTAAAAAATTCAAAAGTATAGGTGAGCAGTAAAAATGTATCTCTATTTCAGCTTTCACCGGAGGCAGCTGAGTTACCAGTTTCTTGTGTATTTTTCCAGACATATTTGATATTCTTTCATCTACAAGAATATAGATAGCATAGTAATTTTATTTTCTAACAGAAATGGTAACATACACACTGTAACAACATATCAAAATATCAATACCCAGTACTCATAGAGCCTCTTCTTTTTACTGACACATGGTATTCAATCTTATAAATATACTGTAATTTATAATCTGTTCAAGTTCATAGGTATTTAAATTTTGTCTATATTTTGCTAACACAGTGTTGCAAACAACTTTTGCAACCAACAATTTCTTGCAACCAACCATTCTTGGTTCTGAGACTTTAGCAACTTACTAACTACAGCAAGCCTCAGGTTCCTCATGTATAAAATGGGAAAATAATAGTTTTCACCTTAAAGACTGTTACTTGAATTAAATGCACGAGTACCCGTGTCTGTTCGAATGTTCTTTGGCATTGCCTTTCTTTGGGATTGGAATGAAAACTGACCTTTTCCAGTCCTGTGGCCACTGCTGAGTTTTCCAAATTTGCTGGCATATTGAGTGCAGCACTTTCACACCATCGTCTTTTAGGATTTAAAATAACTGATGTGGAATTCCATCCCCTCCACTAGCTTTGTTCATAGTGATGCTTCCTAAGGCCCACTTGACTTCGCATTCCAGAATGTATGGCTCTAGGTGAGTGATCACACCATCATGGTTATCTGGGTCATGAAGATTTTTTTTTTTTTTTTGTAGTTCTGTGTGTTCTTGCCACCCCTCTTCTTAATATCTTCTGCTTCTGTTAGGTCCATACTGTTTCTGTCCTTTATTGAGCCCATCTTTGCATGAAAAGTTCCCTTGGTATCTCTAATTTTCTTGAAGAGATCTCTAGTCTTTCCCATTCTATTGTTTTCCTCTATTTCTTTGCACTGATGACTGAGGAAGGCTCTCTTATCTCTCCTTGCTATTCTTTGGAACTCTGCATTCAGATGGGTATATCCTTCCTCTTCTACTTTGCCTTTTGCTTTTCTTTTCACAACTATTTGTAAGGCCTCCTCAGGAAGCCATTTGGCCTTTTTGCATTTCTTCTTCTTGGGGGTGGTCTTGATCCCTGCCTCCTGTACAATGTCACGAACCTCTGGCCATAGTTCATCAGGCACTCTGTCTGTCAGATCTAATCCCTTGAATCTATTTCTTACTTCCACTGTATAATTGTAAGGGATTTGATTTAGGTCATACCTGAATGGTCTAGTGGTTTACCCTACTTTCTTCAATTTCAGTCTGAATTTGGCAATAAGGAGTTCATGATCTGTTCCACAGTCAGCTTCTGGTGTTGTTTTTGCTGACTGTATAGAGCTTCTCCATCTTTGGCTGCAAAGAATATAATCAATCTGATTTTGGTGTTGGCCATCTGGTGATGTCCGTGTTAGAGTCTTCTCTTGTGTTGTTGCTTCCAGATGTTCAAGCTGGATTTAGAAAAGGCAGAGGAACCAGAGAGCAAATTGCCAATATCTGCTGGATCATCAAAAAAGAAAGAGAGTTCCAGGAAAACATCTACTTCTGCTTTATTGACTACACCAAAGCCTTTGACTGCATGGATCACAACAAACTGTGGAAAATAATTCAGGAGATGGGAATACCAGACCACCTGACCTGCCTCCTGAGAAATCTGTATGCAGGTCAGGAAGCAACAGTTAGAACTGGACATGAAACAACAGACTGGTTCCAAATAGGGAAAGGAGTATATCAAAGCTATATATTGTCACCCTGCTTATTTAACTTATATGCAGAGTACATCATGAGAAATGCCAGGCTGAATTAAGCACAAACTGGAATCAAGATTGCCAGGAGAAGTATCAATAGCCTCAGATACACAGATGACACCACCCTTATGGCAGAAAGCAAAGAACTAAAGAGCTTCTTGATGAAAGTGAAAGAGGAGAGTGAAAAGGCTGGCTTTTTTTTTCAGAAAACTAAGATCATGACATCTGGTCCTATCATTTCATGGCAAATAGATGGGGAAACAGTGGAAACAGTGAGAGGCTTTATTTTCTTGGACTGCAAAAGCACTGCAGATGGTGACTGCAGCCATGAAATTAAGATGCTTGCTCCTTGGAAGAAAAGCTATGACCAACCTAGATAGCATATTAAAAAGCAGAGACATTACTTTTCCAACAAAGATCCATCTAGTCAAAGCTATGGTTTTTCCAGTAGTCATGTACGGATGTGAGAGTTGCACTTAGCCTTCTTTACAGGCTAAGCACTGAAGAATTGATGCTTTTGAACTGTGGTGTTGGAGAAGACTCTTGAGAGTCCCTTGGACTGCAAGTGAAAGGCTGCTGAACCACAAAAGATGCCAGGATTCTTGGCCTCCAGAGGAGAAGAATTCAATACAGTGCCAGAGACGAGACTTGATCACTCAAAACTTTTGTGTAATAAAAGTTTTATTAAAGTATAAAAGAGATAGAGAAGGCTTCTGACATAGACATCAGAAGGGGGCAGAAAGAGTGCCCCCTCCCTAGTGTTAGTAATGGAGTTATATACTTTTTAATTAGTTATTACAGTGAATCAAAAGAATGTCTGCTGGTTGTAAAGACCTTACTAGACCCACTCCCATAATTTACATTTTAAGATTACAGGATTAGCCAGAAGGTTTTTTCCCAGAAACTGTCCTCAAGCAGGATACATTATTGTTATATAATCCTAAGGAATGTAGAGGAAAATAAGTTTGGCGTTTCCTCCTCCTTGAGAATTCCAGACCCCTCTCTCCTTGGGGACCCCCAGACTTCCTATCAACCCTCCTAGGAATTGACTCTCTCATCCCCCCCTTTTCTTTTAGGAGAATTATGTTGCCAAGGGAAAGGGGCATTGTTCTCATTCCAGAACTACTTCCTGCTATTTAGGGGCGTGGTCCCTAAGTTGCTGAGGCAACATATTCTCCTAACCCTCATATTGAGGGTCTCTGTTCCAGGGGCCCCAAGTAATAGTTGGAGGAGGCTGTGGCACTCGCTGGAGCTTGGACAACCATTTGTAACTTAAAAGCTTTCAGACGGTTAGAAGCAAACCCTGTTTTACAGTTATAGATGTAAGGCAAAATAGTCATTAACCCAAGTTAAAACCAAAATTAAAAGTCACATTATGTCCATAGTTACATCAGTCCATCCTAGGACTGTTAAATGTCATCGCAGAGTTGAAGAGAACCCTTTCCTAGAAGTGGAGATGTCCACCACGGGAAGCCTTTCACTGATGGAGAGGGGAGCACTGCACAGACCCAGCAGTTAGACTGATTATGAAATGCAGTGTAGGAGTGAGTGCAGGACAGGAAGGCATTGCCTGGAGGGCCAATGGCAGACTCAGGGCTTTTGGAGTTAGCAGAAGTAGGCCCACATAGATTATCAGGCCCATCTGAAAAGTACAAAGTCAGAGCATAGAAAGTAAAGACATAAAATGACATCGCTTGGTTCTGGTCAGGGTGCCACCTCTTAACTCGAGTGTGATGCACCCACGAATCAATTCCTGCCACTCTGACAGCTGTGGGAGAAGAATAACCTGGTAATTAGGGCCTTCCCAGAGGGGCTTGAGAGATTGGCCCCCAGATCCCAATGTTTTTATCAGGACCTTGGCTCCTGGCTCAAGTAGAGGCTTGCTTGACTCAGAGGCTGGGTCAGGAGTCACCTCCCGGAGTTCCATGAATGCCTGTTGAAAAGCTGAGAGCTGAGTTACATAATTAGTTAATCCTAAGGCTTTAGGAAAACTTTTCCATTGAGCATTTTCAGGAATTATTAATCGTCCACCCTCTGACTGTAACCATCCTTTATCAGTAATCTTTGCTCCTCTTTTCTCATATCTTCCTAATTCTTCCTCAATATGTTGTGGTTTTTCCTGTTCCACAGGACCTGTCCAGATCAAGGGTGTCTGCTCGGAAGGGGTTTTGCAAAATGCCGCTTTTCTG